ATTTTCCATTAGTCATGGAATAGCAGCTTTCAAAAAACCTGCTTATTCTTGCACATTGCATTAGCAGTGAGCAGGCTAGTTTATGTGTAGCCAATCTTTTCCATATGTTTAGGATGCTCACATACATTGTGGTATATGTTCTGCTTGCCTTAGGTATAATAAGGCCAATGTAACTGGAAAAAAATATCTCTCAGAATTTACTTCCTACATGATCTATCCAGTGGCAATACCGCTGTAAAACCGCTTTTCTAAAGCTTTGCAGTTTTCACTAATTACATAAATTGTCTGTAGCAGTTCCATATGCCAACACAAAGTTCCAGATACAAACTTCCAAAACACAACTCTCATCTGCTATTAAATAGCAAAAGGTGATTAAAAATGAGAGCTTTATATAGTTCACTGATGAAATTTAAAAAAGCTGTAAAAGCAATCAGATGAATGAATGTGTGTTCACTCATTTAATTGTACATTAATAACCATGTATAAAATGAATTTAATGGAACTTCATCTTGTTTTCCACATCAACAACTCACAACTAGGACTTGGATTAATTGGCAGATACAGGAGAGTGGCCAAGAGCTTTGTGGCTTTTATGACTGAGCTTAGCTGGACTGGAATGTAGTGCAGATCAAGGCAATGCATGTCTGCCAGATATTGTGTGGGAGAAGTTTGTTCTGCCTTTTCCTGTACGCAAACAGAGGACTTCCGTCACCATGCAGCATTTCCCAGAAATGGTGAAATGTCTTATCACATTCTTTTAAGACTGATTTCCTTTAATTTCTACCTGTTCTCAAAGTTTTATTTTGGCATTACTCAAGCTTTATGCCCTGTGGCCTGCGTTCATATACTTTATGCCATGTGTGCTCATTTCAATATACTAAATTTTGTGTTAACACTTTCTTTTTAACATTCTCTACAGGTTAAAAATAAATCCATCCGGATCTCTACTCTGTATTAAATGTGTTATTCTAATTTATAGTTAAGCTTTTTAAAATTACAGATATGTTTGCCATATTTTTCTTGAGTATAAAGAAACTTGGTATTTATGTGTTTTAAAGATCTAAGAATTAATTCAGCAGAAACTGAGATATCCATTAAACTCCATTAATATATGAAAATATAGAGAGAATTTTTGAGAAATAATAGAAAATGTTCAAGATATTATCTCTGAAAAAGTAATAAATTACATATGACTGTTTTTAAGTTTCATATCTGCATTATATGTTTTTTACTAATAATTTGATGTTATCTTTCTTCACTGTTTCACTGGAAAATTTTTCTTCATTTTTTTTCACTCTAAGAATCAATCATTTATTCCCTTTTGGGCATACAGCCCAGTCTGTAGTAGATCCACCTTTTTAAAGAGTTTGTATGTCTCATGTCTCACCTCTGACTATGTTTGTCAAACTTTCTACAATTTTCAGCTGTAAGTTGTTTTGCTGTCCTCACAGACCTTTCCAGATTGTTTAGCTCTGCTAACTCCTTCCAAGAAAAATGATGACGGTTAATCTGAACATGTTCCAGCACTGAAGTCCACTCTTTATTCTACCTAATAGATGTCTATCAAGTAAAGTGCTATAAAGCAAAGTACTTGTAAAGCAGTACTAAACAAAGAAAGATAAAGGACAAACAAATCAGAGATGTGGAAATAGACTAAGACAAATATGCAGGCAAGGACAGGAATGTAGGAGGTGAAATATTGCACATTTGGAGATGACAAGTCAGAAGGAATTTGAAGATGATGATAATATTGATTACAGACTTGAACAAATATATTTATGAGAGAGAGAGAGTAATGAGAATGTTGTCATAAAATGGAAAAATATGTTTCATGCTGAAACTAATACTGAATATATATTTCCTGAAGGACTTCAGAAATTATGCTATTTTCACAACAAAATCTGCAGCAAATTCTTTTTTCTCTTGAGCTATGTTTTCTGCATCAGTTTCTATTACATTGCATTAATGTTCTTCCTGTTCCTCCAGATGTACATACAGTACTGGGTGAGCTGAAGTCTGCCTCCATGTCACTGTCTGGGTCCAGCAGCTAAGGCTTTTTTATGCCTATTCAGCTTCCTTTTTCAGATTCAAGTTTATTCGAAAACAATGCATGTCCCCTATAGATCTATTTTACATCATACCACAACTGAGCACTGAGTATTTTCATGCATTAGATAGCTTGCTTAGTGATTGTAGCTTAAAAATTTATTACACAAACAAACAGATAACAATGACTCCTTCTCAGTATCATGGTATTCCATGATCAATTTGCACAGTACTCAGTAAAACAAATACAAATTTGTTTGTAGAGGAAACAGGCTGAAGAAGAAATCCCACTGGGGATTTCTACCATGGCTGCTGTGTTTCTGAGAAATTGCCCCCCCCCCCTCCACTTTGTTACTCAAAGGAATAAATAGTCTTCACCTCAAACTGCAGGAATGCCACTCTATATTACAGAAGGAATCAAGCATCCTAGGTAGAAACTAATCATTGTCAGTATAAACAGGAAAAAAAACATTTTCATTATTAAAAAAAAAAAAAAAAAAAGAATAGTTTTGATTAATGACTTCTGTTTGCTCAAGCACTTTTGATTTATATGGCAATTTCATACTTTATTATTCCAGATTCTTAAATGTGGTACATAAATTTACACATACGCAGTGTTAGATGTAATGCCTCTCTGCCAAGTGCTCACGTTTCCCACTCTGACACAGTAGGTGGTGTTGACTGACCATTTTGGTTTTAGTGTTACATTGAAATAAATATTTCACATAAAGCTCTGACCTGCTTATTGGATGAGGGAAAGGCTGTAGATGTTGTGTACTTTGACTTCAGTAAGGCCTTTGACACCGTTTCCCATATCTCGTGTCTTCCTCAGTACCATGATCTGATAATTATATCTGTTCCTCTACAGATCTCCATGACTTCTTACCCACTGTGTTCTTTCTATGATATTAGAGTCCTTCTTTTTCAGAGAAGTGAGCAGCTAACATACTCACCACCTGGCAACCCCTTGGCTCTCAGTTGTCTTTACTTCAGACTTAAGTAAATCTTCAAGTAAACTCTGTTGCTGTACTCCTATCTCTTGCCTTCTCCAGGCCTCTAGTTTGAATTGTGCAGTATTAGGAAAGCAGTATTACATTTTTTACTGTTTCCCTAGTTTCAGCATTATTCAGTCTTGGTTCTTTATCTCAGAAATGTCCTCAGATAAGATCTTCTCTCTTAACAGATTCTATTTTCCCTCCTGGTTCTGGATAGATACTTTCTCAAGTGTATATGTAGCTTTCTGCCAGGTTCTTCAGGAAATTCCTGTAGTCTTTCTGCCAGAGGTTGCCTCAGGAAATCCTTAATGATGTCTAGTTTCCTAATTCTGCACTTACTAGTTTCACTTGCCACTTTGTCCTCTTATTCAGGTACATTTGGGGATCTCAACCTACTTTATTCAAAAGAGCCATGAACTTTTGACCTGGCATAACTAAGAAGGCAAATTCTAAGAGTCTCCAACCACAAGAATGATTGACTGAAGTGGGAATAATCTCCATTACAGATGGAAAACACTATGTATTAAATTATTCAGTTCTTCATGTTTCTCAGCCTAAAACAAGCAATGAAAAGTCCACTTTATCTTTGAGCAATTAGTAGCATTCAAAGGAACAATGTGAGCTTCTACAAAACTGAAGCCTATTTGCCCAATGAAGATTTGAAATCATATTCAATTTATTTTTCCTCTTCAAAGACTCTGTACTGCCATAAAGGTTTGCCTAAATCTGATTGCAGTCAAGGTCTACTGTTTATCACTGAGAGTGCCAGCACTGTGCATAGGCTTGGCTAAAGTCAGTGTATGGGCCAAGCAACCAAAGATTTTTGGCTCTGCTGATTTTCTAGGTGTTTGAATATCATAATGATGGTGAAAGACACATCTTGAAGAAGATACACAAAAATATACCATTACATAAAAGCTCCTCAGCCAAAACTTTCATAACAAAGCATATTTCATGGAAAAAAGCTTTCATAACAAACATTAGTAAACTGTTTTTAAAAATGCAACCTAATCATCATGAACAGATTCATGAGGAGACTTATTCACAAATTGTGCATATGTTGTCAAGCATCTCTGATAACAATTCATCTCTGTGTTCCAAATACAATTTGTGTAGGTATTTGTTTTCAGTGAGTAGATGATCAAGTTTTCCCCCAATGCATTTCCATTTAAACCAGATGATCAATATTCTTCAGTATTTTTATTTGTCAATCATGTCAACATTCTTTCTGAAGCTCCATTTGGATAAGGAAAAGCATAGGTGGCATGTGCTTGATGATAGCAGAGTCCTAGATTTTTATTTGCAAATTGCTAAATCCATTAGCCCTTTTGTAAGACTGTTTACATCAGTTGGTGAGTGAATGGGAACCAGGATGATACTTCACTGGGAGTAAACGAGCTACACTCTCTAGTTAAGAAACAGCCAGTTTTATAAAGCATCTCTGTTGTGGAGCTCTGTAAGACATATGGAGAGATTCAGTGCATGCTTTTATCAGTCATTATTCTTGATAAAAGGTTGGATATTCCTATTAGTGAAGCCCTGATATAACCTTTGTTTAAATAAGCTTTAGGTCAGATTTATGCTTCTAGTCCCTATATACATCAGTCTTGAAGATTGCATTTCATTTTTCTCATGTGTCAATATCGAATCTTCTTCAACCCAAAGAACTAATAATATAGTAGTAGGACTTTTCCTAGCCAAGACTTTGATGAAAATAAAAGGAAAGGAGAAGATGGAGATTAAAATAAAGAGTTTCATTTACTATGGACTATCATCACCAAAATATGTAAGGAAGTTGTGCATTCCTGGCTGAAGATGAAAGCCCTTAAGTGCTTCTGTTCGTATCTTACAAGTATGTAGGTATTAAATGGTTATTTACTTTAAATACATTTGCTGTGGGGATAACAACTTAAACTGGCTTTAACTGAAAATGATTTGTTTGTTTGTTTGTTTGTTTAGGAAGGGGATTCCAAGTGAACAAGTGAAACACGCTGATAGAGAACAAGCAAAGCGTATAGTTTATTCAGTGGTTTATGGAGCAGGTAGGCATCTTTAGAAAAAAACCCACAACCCACAGCTATACTAGATTCATACTTTATACATAATTTATATAAGTGGACCAGATTTCTAAAGGTGAATATAAGTTTGTCAGGCTATTACTTTTTTTTTTTTTTATCAAGGATTATTAAATGATCTACCCAGTATCAAAACTGTCAAATTAATACAGCCACATTGACATATACAAATATTAGTCCGGTTATGTATTCATTTGTTGATGATGTAACTGAAGCATTTGTCTTTATCTAAAATGAGTTTAATTTTGAATGGACTTTGCATTCTGTCAGTGTATAGACAGAGATGAGAATAACTGCACTGTAATTAAAAGGACTCCAATATTGTCTCAAAACACACTTATAAAATCACAGAATGGCTGAGGTTGGAATGGACCTCTTCTGGAGGTCATGAGGTCCAGCCATCTAGAGTCCTTTGCCCAGGACTGTGTCCAGATGGTTTTTGACTGTCTCCAAGGATGGAGACTCCACAACCTCCCTGGGCAACATCTGCCAGTGCTCAGTCACACTCACAGTATAAAAGTGTTTCCTTACTTTAGATCTTAATGTTTGCTGCCATTTCTTCACAACTGTGGAAAACCGTCAAAAATCCACACTGTTACCCATTCTGCCTAAGTCCTGTACAGGTCCTAGATAAATCAAAACATTCTGCATACTTTCTAAAACTGCCTACCATTTCTTAAATGATGTCCAACTCTCCTTGTGCTTCATACACGCTTAGAATTAACTTTTCTGGGAAGACAGATGCGCATGTGTCATCAGCCAGCAAGCTCTTGTGAATTTGTTTGAGTGGACAACTAACTAAACTTTATGTAAGTCTTTTGGAGAAATCCAAAAGATCTACTGAAGATGAGTACTTGGAAAACTCATTTAGGAAATGAGAGCCCTAGGTTGCAGGCTTTATTTAACACAGAAACACTTAAAACTATATCTTGGGTTCAAACTCCCATTTCCAGCCTGGATGTTTTCATCACTAGATTATTTTACAAAATACAAGCATTAGCACCCCTGCCCCTTGGTCCATGAAGATGTTACACATTTCCTATCTGTTCCCTTCACTCTAGGTAGAACAGGCTTAATCAGACTGAATCATCACTGGTTGAGTGCCCTGTAGTTCTGTGTATAGTCTGGAGAGAAGGAAATGCCTCAGTTAGTGGGGCTAGAGCCTCCCTCAGTAGAGCCTGTGTCTGTCTACTCATGCTATAGAGAATGTAAGTGATTAGATTAAGCAGGGTATTGGCACTCCCTCACTTGCTCCATACCATGCATGAAACATTGCCGTGCACAGTGCTTTTCTTAAGTATCTCCCTCTGCTTGTTTGTGCTTTGCATCTCTCTCAACTGAGGTCCGTTGAAGCACCTGAAAGATAAGAAGATGGTTCAGTTCATTAGCAGCGTTATCAGATCCTAATTATGACATAACATGGAGCAATATTGAACTATTTAGGTGGAAACTGGGGTGACAAAAAATAGTTAGATACTGGAAATTGATGGACTGAATTCCACCCACAGTTTGTCTCCCTTCAAAAGATGGCTAACTTTTCATTAAGGAGATCATTTGATACAGTTGAAGAGTGTGAATAATATTTATTTCACTTCTTCCTAGGGACTGAGAAATACAGAGGCATTCCTTGAGGAATTGTCTGTATTATGCTTACAGGAGTTAATGAAAATCTTTCATGTAGTAAATAGTAATCTTTTTGTTTTCTTAGCTTTAGATTACACTTGGTTCATATTTTCAACATGGTTCACTAATCCTAGAGGATAGAAAATAGTATGATAAAGAAGAATTTCATTATGTCTAGGAGTTGGTACTTTAATAAATACAACAAATATTGAGAGGGATGACAGTATTACTGTCTTTTGCTTGGTTTGGAGCAATTCAATTTACCTGCTTCTGCCTCAGTCATCTTGTAAAACTAAAGCACAGACAACTTAAACATCTATAAAATAAGGTATTAATTCCATTCAGTGGTAGTATGTTCAAGCCCTGAATCGGCACAGAGGGATGTCAAGGTGTTTAAATGAAAAGCAAAGAAACTAATGATATTTTCAGTTTTGAAAGATGATATTACAGAATGGAGAACACTAAAACTCATGAGCTGCTGCTAACAATTCCCCTGCCACACATAACTCAAGGAGAGTGCTCAGGGAAGCCTTAGTCCACTCCGGAGTGTTGCTTTGCATAGCCAATGTTCCTGCATTATGGAACATGATCTGACACAATTATGAGGCTGTACATTCCTCTCTTTTTGCTTCCCAGGAATTGCATTTCCCTGGAACCTTTCAGACTTCCTTACTGATATTGTGGCTTAATTTTCTTACTATTTTATGCAATACTTTGTTCTGTATATCAGTAGTTCTTTAAATGGATAACATGGACAAACTTAGATGTTACAGTTCTCTAAGGAAGCCACAGCAGTCTCCTAACTGTTAACAATATGTGCTTTAGCAGATAGATTTGTCATTTGCTGACCCAGGAAGAAAACTCAGATTAATTAGATGTCAAATAAAAGTACAGACCTATAATAGCTCAGCAAGAGCCATCCTGGATGTCTTGTGAATTTCTTCTTCCAGCACCTTGTCCAGACCAGTGTTCCTGCAGCTCAGTGCAGATCCTGGCATGACTGAGAACAGATGCTACAGAATTGTTCTGAAATGCACATCAGACTGACAGGGATGGCATTTAGGTGGCTGAAATCTTCTCTCTTTCAAAGATGCTAGATAATTGTTCTTGACAGTATTACTGTGACAATAACTATTCCGTGCCTTTGGTGCCTTGAGACATCACATCTCAGTTTATGTTATTTGCAGACACAGTGCTGGTTTTGTGTTACTGTGCAGCTGTCATAAATATATCTGTCTTTCAAACATCGTATGAATAATGTTGATGTATATTTTATTTTTGCTGAAACTGTTTTAAACTGTAGCTCGCTCTTTATGTTTTCACACTCCGGAAAACTGTCTTCAGCTTTTTTCCACCTTGTTTTATAACTGCTCTTAGATCCAGCGTTATACATATTGTGCACCTATATCCTTTCCAAAAGCTATTATTCATTTCTCTGTTGAAAGACTTCTGTTTTTTCTTTTTCCAACCCTTTTATCTCACAACTTGGACCCAGATTTTTACAGACATTGAGGAGCCTAAGACTGTTTGAAATCCATGAGACTTCTAATAGCCTTTCTAAAATCAGACTATTTGGTCTGATTGCTTCAACAGTTAAGTTTTTCTGTGGCTTCTGCACCAAATCTAAAGCTTCCAGCTAAACTCAGCCAGGCACATCTCCATCCTTTTTTAGATGTTCATTCACATTTATGCTTGTTTAAAATTGATTTCAAACGCTTTATCTGCTCCTCAAAGTTCGCAGATTTCAACACTGAACTAGTAAAATGATACTTAAAGCAACAAAAGTTATTCTGTGAACAAAAGAGATTTCAACCACATTATAGGTATAAATTATAACTAGGAATTTCTTAATTACATACTTCTTATATACTTCTTATTAAGTATATTCTTAATCCAGTAACTTCAGTAAAACATTCAAGCACAAAGTTAAACATTTGCTCTGTTGAAATATGTTTGTAGTATGTCAGAACCATCCTCTTTAATAGAGATAAGCAAAGTTAACTAATTCTGCTGTGAATGTAACAGTGCTATTGTATGTAGTGGATTTCTGTTCTTCTATATTACATAATAAAGGTAATTTCTTTACCACCAGGTAAAGAACGTCTTGCTGACTGCCTGGGAATTACTCCTCTTGAAGCCAGTCAATTTATAGAGAGTTTTATGCAGAAATACAAAAAAGTACATGAATTTACAAAGAAAACCATTGAACAATGCCGAAATAAAGGTAATCCAAAATCTGTAAGCATATTTTTGTTTATGTTTATTTTTATTTTATGTTTATTTTTGTTTATTTTACTATGTGACAGGGGTGAAAACAAAGATTCAGCTTGACCCAAATACAGATAGATAGGGGACAAGGAAAAAGATGGAATATAATTTCTTGGTGAACTGGGTTTTCTTCTTCTTAACACTAAGAGGAACTGGTTAAACCTGTCTGCCTTTTCTCAGAAAGATGCTAACAGAATAAGATGTGTGTTCTCAGAGTGAACACTACTTAATGTCAAGTTACACTGCATCATTTTGACACCCAATGTACAACGCAAAAAAGCCTGAGGAATCTTTTACTTAATAAATGTGCTACATGACTGCTGGACCATGGAAGTTCAGCCATTTAGTCAAAGAGCCAATTTAGAGAGTCACTTTTTTTTAAAGTATTTTTTCTTTGCATCAGTCACAATTCGTGTTCTTGAAGTTCAGGTGGTATCTGAGATGACAGATGTGTGCAGAGTACTTCTTGCAGCTAGCAGCTGCAAACTCTTCTTGCATCAAATTTGTTGTTAGTCTACGTATTCATTTATATTTAGTGAATCCTAGGAGTGCTGTAATTTGAAGACAGAAAATATAGCTGTTTGAAATATTGTCTCTTAAAAGTTAATTAGCAGAACTGTCAAAATTTACTTCTTTTGTTTCTTAATGGGGTATACAGTACTAAGACATTTTGTAGAAATAAATGGTAAATTTGTAATATAATATTAACTGTCATTGTATGAGTGAGTGTCATGATAGAAACATGTAACTGATTTCCAGTCATGAAAATGGGTAGTATTCCTTTTTCTGTACTTTGCAGGGCTTAAAAATCTACTGGACACATGAACTGTCATTGTGTCGTGCAGTTGCATTCCTTCATTCATTAATATTACTAAAGAAAAGTGAAGTCACTAAAAATTTGTTTTTAACCCAACATAACATATCTAGTAAAATATTTTAAAAATTATTATATGTTTTTCATCTATTTAAAATAACACAGCATTATTTTCTTAAAGATAAATGAATTTCAATAACTAGACTTCTGTGATAAAGAATCTGGTTTATGAATTTAGTAGATAAGAGTGTCATAACTAATGTCCTTGATTGTTATCAGAACACACTTGTCTAATTAGTACTTACTACTCCTCTCACTCCCATCTATCAACCATTTTTTAAACTGTTAATGGGAGAAGAACAATCTGTTTCGATTGTACAAGCTCAAAAAAACTGTAGCATGTCAACTTTATTTAATATTTTTCTCATCAATCCTCAGATTACAACTTTCCAACAAAAACATTCCAACATAGTGAGCTCATTATAAAGTAACTTTTCTTTACTTATCTGCAGTTCAAAGGTGAACAACACCCACCTGAGCAATATAATTTTGGTGTTATGGATGTCTGATACTCCATGTAGATATGAGAAGCACATAAATAATACTAATTTGTGATGAAGATATTTTTGTTAGTTATATAAGTATATATGTTATTATATTGTTTTTTAATGAATTTATCAACATATTAAAAAGATAACTGTAAGACCTCATTCAAATATGTATTTGCAGATTAATCTTTGACCCCAGAAGCATGCTCTGCCACTATTATATGAAAGATGGTATTTATTTGGGGATGCTAATCAGCTGAGTATTGCAAGAGTGATTCTGTTGTGGAGACACACCACACAGGACTATAATCTGTTTTCCCCTGAGAATCCAGTGTTTCAAGAATTCCATCTTTACATGCTGTTCTTCATGAAAAATCTTAGTTAAATTGGGAGAACTGATTTGCCAAAGAATAACCTAACCTCCAGATTAATTCAGCTTCTTGTTCCAAAACTAGTGCTTTTGGTATCAGTGCTCCTGGAAATAAACTAATTCGCAGAAAGCTGTATTAATTAATCAGAACCATCTTCATCGTTTGCACCTAAATCTGGGTATGTGTTGTCCATAGTAAAGGTTGTAACTGTGTTTGAAGAGGTCTCCTTACCACATGTGCTTGCATATTTTGGTTGACAAAGAGGAGATGAAACTGTGGCAGTCTCTGTATATAATGACAATTCATGAATAGACAAGGTGATCAGAAGTATAATGAAGGATTTTGTAAAGATATGTTTTTAACATGGATGATTTTTCATTTTTCTTAAAATAAGAAAAATTTAGTTTTGAAGATAAGTTGTGATAAGGTTTTGTGTGTGTTATTTTGACAAGAAGATCCTCACATCTTTTTTGCTCCTCTTACCTGCCCTCCAAAATAGTTGTTTTGGCAAAATATGCCATTGGGCCTAACATAAAGCTTTAACTGTATTCTCATGCATTTCTTTTAAACCCTAAAAACCCCACCACACTAGAGTTAAGGAAGTTTGTCTGTGAAAGGGACATGAAAATATATGTATTTTATATATATAATATTATATATATATATGAAAGAAAATGGAAAAAAAGTTATAAGGTTGTTTTTTTCCCCAAAACTATTTGATAATTTTGGGAAATATTAATTATAATTATTAATTATTTAATTACTCTATAAATTTATTTTTCTTTGCTATTCCCAAGCAAACGATTCATTGCATGGAAAGCTAATTATGGCTGCTAATAGATAGCTAATTCTGTTAGGTATTTACAGTTTCATCTGCCATAGAGAGAGTTTGCTGGTATTTCATTAGACATTCCTAATAAAACTACAGCTTTAATGAACAGAAGTTTTCCTTGTATAATATGTACCAATGCTCTGAATGAAATAATTCTTAGACCAAAAATATAATAAACATTTAAAGTTTAAATAAAAGAAGCTCTGACTATTATATTCAGAGGGCAAAATACTAAATTGACTCAGGCAGCACATAATTACAAAAATCTGAATTATTTTCAAAAATAATTTTTGAAATTTAATCACTCTAAGAGTACTAATTTCTATTTAAATCCTACAAGGTTATGTGGTTTCCATAATGGGACGTAAAAGACCACTGCCTAATATCAATGCACAGGATTACAAACTACGCACTCAAGCGGAGAGACAGGCTGTCAATTTTGTTGTTCAAGGTAAAAAAAACTGCCTGCCTACCTTCCTGCTTACCTACCTGTCTCTTTATCTCTGCTTGGCTTCAGTGGACAACAACTCTGATAATCTCAAAAGAATTAATATTCTAGCAGTCTACTAGAGTACACTGCTGAGGCATGAATTTCACTACAAAAAGAAGTTTAAATGATGTATTCTTTCTACCTTGGAAATTACTAGTAAAGAGTATAATAATAGCAACAATAACAGTATCAGTGTTCTAATACACTGTAGTGCTCTGTGGTAGTTAAATATAGGTATAGATACAAACTGTATAGAGATAGAATATCTAGAATTCAGTGCTTCAGATATATTGTTGTCTTAAAACATTTTCCTTTCTGGTTTTGATAGTCTGTTACTTCAGACGGGTTTCTGTGATTATGCTGCTTACAGAATCTAGCCTTTTTTTTTTTTACCAGATAGCTGAAGTTTAAGAAATATACAGCATTGAAAGAACTGTGCATTGTTATTATTTGATTTGAAACCAAACTCATTCTTTGTAAGGAACATTCAAACATATCTGTAGAGGCCAAGAAAAAAGATGTTTTTTCACAGAAGAGCATTTCAAATTTGCCATGTAGGTTGGAAACGTAAAAATCAGCATAAAGTGCTCAAGTGTTAGTTAGTCTGATACATTAACATACTCTTTTAAAATCATTTGGGGCTCAGTCTTGTCAGAATTTAGCTACCTAAAGGAAAAAATTAAAACTGAGCTGGTAGTCCAAGACTGAGATCCCCCATACCACGCTACCCCTTGGAAGAATTATTTTATTAATTGGATGATGCTGACAGTTTTTTTATTAAGTTATATTGGAAGCATACAATTTACAGGCAAGTAAAAAGTGCTTTCTAGACATGGTGAGGGCATGCTTTTTATAAAGTGGTTTGAATTTTCCTTTTGAAAGAATCATGGATTTTTTTTCTTTTTTTTTTTCTCCAAATATTATTCATTTTAATGTTTCATTTTAAAAATGACTTAAGTATTTATGTCTTGTTTGATACCCCTTATAATTAGTAACTGAATTTAAGTACTGCCTCTGCAAGGGTATGTACGGATCTAGAATTCTAAAATATACCCTGTTGCTTCAATAATACTTGTGCTCGTGATGGTTGCTTTGCTGTAGTAGGCACCCAACTGTAGAATTTTAAAATACCCTTATAAAATCCGCAGCAAAGCTTGCATATTTGTAACACACAGGGCATGTCTGTATAACCTTCTCCAGCCACTTGTGTTCAGTTTGCCTGGTTTTCCATCCAGCTGGCCAGCAGGCCTCTCCAGTTGAAGGCACAATGCTTGAGCTAATACAGCTAGTCCTGCTGAGTGTACAGTGTAGCATTAATAAAGCTACATGGCCTTCTGAGCAGCACTTGCTTATGTCCATCTGTCCAGAGAGCTTGGAGCTGAGGTAGAGCCATCACAGGACTGTCTGTGAAACAGTCGCTTATGTATCTGCAATAATGATTATCATATTTCATTGTCAGTTCAGATAATATTGGAGGACAAATTGAATGAAAAATACTGTTATTAAAAGCATGTAATATTAGAAAGTGTGATGAAGCAAGGATTAAAAACTCTAAAATATTCAGTAATCCCAACTTTTATTAAAAAAATATTCTCAGTGACAATGGTATTTTAGTTTCAGGATTTCAGCTATGAGATAATATTTTAAGACTGTAAAAACTTTCTAAATTATGCTAAAACATTTTATCACAGTATACAAAACTGTATTTAATATATGTGTTTTATAATTATATCTAATAGTCTAATAAAAGCAGTGTGCATTTTGATTATAGTAGCATCAACTGATAGCAGAAGACTTCTGATGCATGACAATATTGAGAGGAACATAGAGTTCCAGCTTTAACTTCAAGTGGATTTCCACAGTTCTTTCATAGTTTTTTTTTCTCTCTTTGAATATTTCCTACTTCAATAGTCTTTACCAATGTACAAGATAATATTCTTCAGTTATAATTCAGCTCTACCTAACCGCATAGAGCAAACCATTTATTTTACATTATTTATTTATAACTGTGGCAAGATCAACCAGAAGGATATAATTATTTTCTTTTAAAATATTTAAAATAGCATATCCTTAAAAACATCTCAGAGAAAAAAATATTTTGAAAATTCTTTTGTATTTTATTACTTTGCATTGATTCATGAAGAATACATATAGAACATATGAATTGTGATGGACTTAGTGCTTAATTATATCATCTTATTCTCACAATCACTAAGAATACAGTTCTCTGACCTTTGCTGAAACATCCTTTCTTACTTTTTATACCAATGTGTTCCTTTTTGTTTGTATTGATTTGGTTTGACACATCATTTGAACAGGAAAACAAGATAGGTATTTGAGGCTAAATTTGCAATTAGACATAGCCATCTATAATCAGCTGTGGATCTGCACTTGATGTAGTCAATGTGTAGAACAGACTCTTCAGTATGGAATTCAGAGAAGCAGTTTGTCATAGATAGCCGTGAAGAAGAAAGAGGTGTTAAGTCTGTCTCCTCAATCTCTTAGATACTCTCTATTGGGTAAAAGGGTCAACCGTGTCCTGGGGTGCATCAAGTACAGCATAACTAGCTAGTCCAGGGAGGTGTTTGTCCCTCTCAACACTGCACTGGTGCAGCCCCACCTTGAGTACTGTGTGCAGTTTTGGGCACCTCGATATAAGAAGGACATCAGACTATCAGAGTGTGTCCAAAGGACGGTGACCAAGACATTGAAAGGTCTTGAGGGCAAGACTTATGAGGAGCAGCTGAGGTCACTTAGCGTGTTCGGCTTGGAGAAGAAAAGGCTGAGGGGTGACCTCATCACAGTCTATCACTTCCTTAAGGCAGGCAGCAGAGGGAGAAGTGCTGATCTCCTCTCTCCGGTGGCCATTGATAGGACACAAGGAAATGGAATGAAGCTGCGTCAAGGGAAGTTCAGATTGGATGTTAGGAAAAGATTCTTTACTGAGAGGGTGGTCGGTCACTGGAACAGGCTCCCCAGGGAAGTGGTCATGGCATCAAGCTTGTCAGAGTTCAAGGAGCATCTGGATGATGCTGTTAGTCATAGGGTTTATTTTTAGGTAGTCCTGTGAGGAACTGGCAGTTGAACTTGATGATCCTTATGGGTCCCTTTTAACTTGAGATATTCTGTGATTTTACAGTTATCTCCCAGCAGAGTATCCTTACCATTTGCCTGCCTGGCTGTTCTTTATCCCTACGCTGAAAGGTGAACTATTTGGAAGAAAGAATTCAAAATTAATTGAGTGAGGGGGAGTGAAAAGGAAGATGTCAACCTTTTAGTACATTTAGGATATCTCATAGGACAAGGAGAATTATGGCTTCCAATCCTTACTTAAAGGATTGTTTCTGCATTTTATCTCATAAATCTTTATGTAAAATGTATTAAACCCCTGTTGTATGATTCAGAACAGACCCCTTCACCAAACTGCAGGCCTGGAGAATCATTCTGCCTCTTGATCACCAGAAATGTGTCATCTATTATGTAACATGACACTGTTTTATGCACCACTGCTCTTAACACTGTAATGTAATAAATATGCATTACATACACATGGAAATATGAAAAAGCATAAAATTAAGTTTCCAAATGGAAATGTGGCACTGAAACAATGTTCTAACACTTTGTGACATTAAATTTTAATTTATTTATAGGTAGACCTTAATTCCAATTTAAAGTTAGATAATTTCAGACATTTTTTATAAAAAGCAGTTTTTCAACTCATGGCCATGACTGACAAATTCACCATTAATTAACATATGATTTTTTATTATTCTTTTCCAGTTTTAATTATCATGTAATTATTTAGTTATTTATTAATCTCATGATCTCTTTCACATATTACATGAGTTTAATCTGCTAGTTTTGCAAATTCTTGTAGTTCACAATCTTCAGATGTCTTTCACTCCTATGCCATAGTTCCAAGAAGAACATTTTCCTTTTGCATGCTTTAAATTAAAAGCAGATTACTTTCTTTCACAGGATCTGCAGCTGATCTTTGTAAAATGGCTATGGTGGAGATTTTTACCTCTGTTGTCATTTCTCCGACTTTAACAGCCAGGTTAGTAATGAATGAATGCAAAACTGTTTGATTTTAAACCAAAATTAGCTGAAACGTGAAAGTGTTTCTGGCATTTTAAGCAGCTGTAGAAATATCATATATGCCTCTGAATCTTTTAACAAGCAAGGACTTGTGGGATGGTTTTATACATTCAAAGTTTTATCTTTGTGCTTAAACGGTTAGATCTGTAAATCCATCCCAAGGCGATGAAGTGCCCTGGGGCCATTTAAACTCAGTCAGATCTAGTTCAGTGGTAGCTCTGCATCTTTGAAATCATGCCCACTGATCATATCCTTCCTGTATTTTGAGTGTACTGTACAATGGGAATTGAACATTCAATGGGCTGGGAAAAAAACAGGATTCAGGAAACCAGTGCTCAAGCAAAATAAATGAACATTTTTTATTCTTGTATAAATGGCTTTGCTTTGCTAAAGAAAAGCTAGGTTGTCATGATTTTCTTCTGTTGTGACAGCTCATAGTTGGGTAGAAGATCACAGAATGTCCTCAATATTTTTATGCCACTAGCAGAAATAATGAAGTCTACTTTTGCTGTAATAAAGGATGGAGGGGATGGTGCAGAGAGTGAGCATTATTATTTGCTGCAATAGAAAGATACTTTGAAGGCAAATGTGCAGAAAAAAAAACCCCCAAACAAATAGATTCTCATCTTTTGTAATGCTGTAGTAAATAATCCAGTAGAACATGGATTTTTGCAGAAGTTCAGATAAAAGCGGAGATAGCAGGTAGTGCAGAACATCAGTGTTTCTGTTGTCATCCAGAAGAAGAAATCATAAATACTTAGCTGTACCAATCATGTATCAGGGACTTCAGTGGGAGTTTATGTCAGTACAAAGGAATGGTGTTTGGCCTTCCAAACATACTTTGCAATTATGTGTAATATCTAGCAATATTGATACTCTGTGTGTGTGCCTATGATTTACACACAGCAGTGTTGCCTTATTTGATCAGTGTTTCAAAATGTAATTTCTAACTACAAATAGAAATTGCATTTATATTGAAATCAAAGGTAGAATCACTCCTATACCTAAATGTTGGATGATGTACATATTACATTATCCATTTTGGGGCAGATTCTCTGTGCTGATTATAATTCTTTCTGCTGCCTGAGTTATACAAAGAGACAAGAATGGCAGCTGTGACCTGGTTGAAAATTTCTGTAGTAGGCGTAACTTTGTGTTACATTAGTGATAGAGCAGCTGCCTTCTGGGACAAGCAGCTGACAGTCTTTAATGGAGGAGACAAGTGGAGGTGGTGAGAGGGCAAAGAACATACTCACTTCTGCAGTTCCTACCTAACACAGAGATCTTTAGGTTCAATAACTAGCTGTTTCTTGTAGTTCTGAGAAAGCCAAAGTTTTTTGCAATCAGTGCTGCGTCTGATGAAGCTTGTGAATATTTTCTTCTCTCAACGGATGATTTTACTTGGGTTGTCCTTTCTCAAAACTGTTTCTTTTAGAATAGTATCACCAAATGGCTAAGGAGGTAACAGACATGGGGAAGTATTGAAGTATTACATGTTGAATTTCCTTGTGTTGTGAAAGCATAGGGGAATGGCTACACCAGACGTCAGAAAAGTATCACTGCCTATCCTTATTCCTATCATAAATGTCACAGCTGGAAAAGATGACTGCAAAGGCATCTAAAGGAGACAGACTGTTTTAAACGGGAATTTTGAACTCCTGCCAGCCATTAACAACTGGATGGCTTTGCTAAAGGAGGGCCTTTTAATAGTCACTAATGGCTCCTTGCTGTAATATTTAGTAGGTACTTACAAGCCAGGCTTGTCAGAAAAGCACAATCAGTGCCTTTATAAATTTGGTGAGTACCTGTTTGGATGGTGGCATTTGAAAGCATCACTGTAGTCTTGCCAAAAGAGTACAGGACTGAAACTTGAAAATTTGTGTTTCCACTTGTCTGCTAGGTGACGTTCAGTTAGTTATTTTTTCAGTTGTCTGTTTCTTGATTTTCTTATCAGTTAAATCAAGATAACGATCCTAACATCCTTTGTAAAGCACTTTGAACAATATTGTTAAAAGGAAGTGTATACATAATTGGTGCTGTTGTTGTAACAGCAGGAATGCACGGTAGCTCTTCCAAAATGAGAAATATAATCAATCTCCTATTATCATCACATCAGATCGTATTCATTACAAAGATAGCACACTACTATATTTTCTTCTGTCCTCACCTCCTTTGTATTTTTTTTTCTCTATTAGAACTTCTAATTTTGGAAAATCTGTTCACTTTGAACAGCATATCAAAGAGAAGTATCTTTTATTTATATATACATATATATATATATATATATATACACACACACTAGAAGTAATTATGAACCCCACAATTACACCGGGAGACAGTATCCTATTAGGCGTAGCCAAGTAGTGTCTAACACTCAACATTTTGTCTTCCTTACCTTGGAAATAAAAAGAAAATAAATTCTAAATAAGGCCTTAGAGTTTTTAGTGTTAGTTTGCAGGTATGTTTGCAGTCTTCTCCACTGACAGCACTGCATTCATTTTTCAAACACTGTAAGCTGTTCAGCTGTGATCAAGCTCTGATCCAACCGTAGGAAGCTTCATTTTTGTAGGACTAGTAGTCAGTAGATTTTCAGTTATTGTTTGCACATATGATACTGCATTTGGAAGCCAGGCAAAAGTAATCAAGTTCCATTTTCATGATGCTTCATCAGAGATGCCTTCTTGACAACAACAGTATAGTGTACTGTGACTGATCAATGGCTGTTCTGTCATCCAGCAGTCTCCTTTGTTTCTTTGTGTTTCTTCATCTTTTATTTCAAATGCCAGCCTAGCAACTTACGCTGTTGACAATAAAAAGTTAATCAGTTACTTGGAAATAATTTTACAGAAATAGGGAAGAGTAGCATTAAATGTAATACATATGATAAGGAACTGATATTAGTATCGGTTAGCTACTGGCATCAGTGTTAACATCTCTGCATTTTGTGTGATGCTGGTGAGTAATCGAAATTATTTCCTCAGACTTCTTCTATATTACCTAGATCTTTGTTAAGGTGCTGTTCTGCTGCTGACGGCCAAGTTGCTTACTGAAAATGTGCTTCTGGCATAAATTATTCAAGTGCCAGCTTTTACCTGTCTGATACAATTCACAGAATCCCCACAGAATGTTTTCTGCAGGCAGATGATAGCAAAGAAACTTCTGAAGTGAGATCAAGGCATATAGTAGCAGCTGAAAGAAAGATTGATGGAATTGATGAGAGTGGAAAGGTACTCGAGTGGACAGTTGTAGTTATTTTCAGTGTTTAAAACATCATTGCAGTGAAACACACATGGAAACTTGGTAAGGAAGAAAAATGCTGGCAAATTGCGGAAGAACTGCTGCCTATAGCAATTCCTGTGAAAATTATCACTTTGTAAGCTGAAAATGCACTGGTATTGCCCAAAGTCTGTCTGCTGCTACATGGACTTCTCAGAAAGTCATTACAGATTATAATATCCCAACAACATGCAAATTAAATTTAACAAGTCTACGGAACTATTGAGTAATTTGGTGCGAATCCAGCAATTCTGCTTTCTCACCAATTTATTGTTCCTTCAGCACTGGACCTGTGCCACAAACACACAGCTTTACTTCTCAGCATGTCCGGAGTCTAGTTAAAGAGACAGGTTCAGCAAGACGCCAGATAGAAATGAATGATCCAAAAAGGAGGAGCCACCAGCAAATAGAAGGAAATGGCACATCTTATTTTCTTGGTCCCAGCTGCTTTTCAGTAGCAATGATGTTGGAGATTTTGTATGTCTTCCTCAAGGAACAAACACTTCAGTCAACCTAATGATCTTCTGAGTTGGTGAACTGTAAATGCAGCTTGCTTTTACACAGATAGCTAAATTAGTTAGAAACAGCCCTAATCGTCCCAGGAACAAGCATTGTGTTATGTGACCTAGATTTTTTTCAGATACAAATCATGTGATAAATTACAAATTCATTTGTTGGAAGTGGCTTCAAGTTTTAATTAGACACAAAAACCTAGTGGCATTTTTATAAGGTGTGTAGGGATTCAAGCTTTAGTACTTTATTGACTGCTTATTGTTTCTCAGATTCATACAAGAGGACATACTAATAAAACCAACTTCACCAAATACATTCCATAAACTGCTTAGTGCGGCTTCTATGTGTGATGATATTCTTTAATTCTGGGCATAAATCTTATGTCCTTTTATCTGTTTCTTCAGGATTTAAAGAATTGTTTTGATTCATGTTTCTCCTGTAGCAGTTATTCAGGTTTTTCAAGTAAATGCTTATTGCTCTGGTACTTTGCCCACAATTCCCAGTATATGGTTGCAGATCTGCTCTGAAGGATTAACTCTAGCAAGATGGTCAACTTTTATCCTTAGCCTAACACTGGAGAAATAGAATAGGGAAAAGATAAAAGCTTTGGATTCTGCTTGAGAGGAGAGTAAGATTTTTGTTTCACAGACATATGCTCTTGTTTCAATAGCAGAAGGAAACATCCTAGATCATATTGCTATGTCAGAAGTTACTGTGAGCTTTCCATAGCTGCTGTCCCAATCCAGTATGTATTTCTTTGCTTCCCAAAGTGGCAAAATAACATTGTATTTCTAGGTGTGGTGTGATTTAACAAAATCTTTACTCTCCTCAATCATTCAAAGCAGTATTTCACACATATCCACAAGATGGTGAACTGTTACCTGAATGTTTCATGCACAGTGAGCCAGAACAAGTCAGAATGATTTATTCTTTATAGAAAGAGCTAAATGTATTTAATATGCCTAAATATCACAGCCAAAGAGGACATTCATGATGTATCAGGTTTTTCAATGTTACTTTCTATGGTTCTTTCAACAGAAATAAATACTTTGCATTTATAAAAACCTTTTGTAGGTCACCTTTTAGACTGGTATGTTTTAAAACACTTTTGAGTACATGCAAAAACTCTATTCTCTTTAATTAACCATCTGTTCAGCTTCCTGCTCTACA